TTTAAAACTACTGGGGATGGACAGCTTTTCTCTTTAGAAAGAAAAGGATACAAATTGAAGTGAAGTAAATTAATTTCCATTACCTCCAGCTTGGTGTTGCATGCATCCTGTTCTTTTCTTCATTTTTTTTTTAAAAAACAAAAAATTTTTTTTTTTCATTCCAACAAAAGTGAATGTATTGCCTTTTGCAAAGAGACAGGAGGAAAAAAAGAAAAAAAAAAACTACTTATTCAGCCTTGATGTAAAAATCTTAAATATATATATATGTTTTTTTTACTTAGTTAGAACTGCACCCAAATACGATTGAATTGGCTTCAATGGGAAGCAATCTGATGCCCCGCCGCAGGCTAGGGGATCGACGCCGAGTCTTTGACCCGTGGACCGTGTTAATGCTCAATCTGGATCATAGGTTCAAAAGAAAAAAAAGAATAGGATAGATTTTCGTAAGCAGAAAGGATGGTAGCTCAACTTTGCTAAAGTATAATTGTTATACTTAGTAATATATGTATTGCATCAGAAACCCTTTTAACGTTCTTTGGTACTATCCAGAAAAGAAAAAAAAAAAAAGTCAAAAATCGCCCTGTTTGAATTAGCTATTTTTTCGACAAAAGTCAATTGCTTTGAGTCGAAAAAAGACAAACTGCTCGTTAGTATTAGCATGTTTAGTTCATGTGCCGGGGTTCTTAGCTTAGGTTGGGAACACCTAGAGTAGTTTATCCCATATCGGGTCGGGGGGTTGGGTTAGTTGGGTAGATAAGTCCCTGGGGTTGTACCAAGAGTTGCCGGTTTTTGGTATTATCTCTGGGATTAGGTTATTTCATTCGGCAAAAGTCAATTGCTTTGAGTCGAAAAAAAAAATTAGCTATTTTTTGAAATATTTTATTATAATAACATATATAAACAAAAATTTTACTATAAATTTTTTTTTAAATATTTAATATACTGTATGGATGAAATATTTTTTATGTTATTTTTATTTATGTATTAGTATAACATTATATTTGAAAATTTTATTTTGAAAATTTTATTTTGAAACCAAACGAAAACGAACGTTATAAGATTATGGGCTTTCTTTCGTTCCTTCAGGACTGACAAGTCTGAAGTGCTCCAAGCAGAAAATAACTCTGGATGCTTGATTTATTGTCTATGATTGACAATTGTTACACGGTTTGTACCAACAATGAGTTGTGAAATAGTTTGTTAGTGTGTTTTTCAAAATCGTGAATTTTATTTTTGGTTTTCAACCGAAAATTTTCAACCAAGAAGCTGACGATGAATAGGACAGGATAGCAATGAGCAATTATTGCTGAATGGAAAATTGGAAATATCCCAACTGGTGGCCCCTTCATTGCCTTCAATTCATAGGAAACTATTGTTTGACCTTCGACGAAGTCGTCTTATTAAAAAAAAATAAAATAAAATTGAGCTGCTTGCACCGATCATATGTGCGAAATTGGAAGGTATTAGTTGCTGAATTTAGATAATAGACAAATATCTCTTGAAGTCTTGGAGAGCAGAGCTTTGCATCAGGAATTCTTCATCTTCTTCATTTTTTTTTTGGGACCATTTAACCCCTAGAAAATGTCCGAAGCCATCATGTACTAGGATTAAGGATTCCTCTGCAATATGATCTATCAACATGCTAATGTTAGCCATTATTACATAGTTAGCTGAGGTCGAGAAAATTAAGAACATGACGGGCTGCTGTCTGTGTCCGTTTATAGGAAGCCGGCGAAGAAGTAAGACAACTGAAACACCAACCAAACCCGATATTTCCCTTCCACGGCCGGCCTATGCTGTTGATCAAAGGGCTGCTCGCAGCGGCAAGAGGGATGGAAATATGGCCATCTTGGCCGGTGCGGGTGCTGGTGCTGCCGTAGCTGCTGCTACGGTTGCTACAGCTGCCGCAGTAAGCAACGTTGAAGAAGAACAACGTGCCCGTGATAATAAAACGAGTGGCGGTGGCGCCTGTGGCGGTGTAGCAACTGATGGTGGTGCTGCTAGCCAAGGTTGCTGCTGTGGTGGTGGCGGCGGCAGTGGCTGTGGCGGCTGCGGATGCGGCGGGGGCGGATGCGGAGGCGGCGGATGCGGTGGGGGCGGATGTGGCGGCGGTGGCTAAGGTCCAAATAATTATTATCCTCGTTGAAGAAATGTTTTGCTTTAGCTTTTCCGTTTTCGTCATAGTGTTAATTATTTATACGGATACATTTCTTTCTTCGTGTTTTTTTTTTTTCCAAAAAGTATTTTGGATATGTTTTCTTCCGTAGTGAAGGGTTTTGGATAGGATTTGTATATATGCTTCTAGTGAGAAAATAAGACTTAATATTAAAGCACATAATTAAATCGATCAATTACATTCTCCTGTGTAACATTTGGAGGCTTGTCAATAATTTGTTTCACATTTTAATTAGTACCTCGGTTGAATTTGAAATGTGTACTCTGACAAGAGCAAATTGCACATTCCCAAATCTTTAATGGTCAATGCATATGAAGTTTTCCCAAATCCTGTGGTGAGGAGAAGTACCTGTCATCGTGATGGAAATAACTACCGCACAGAAGGTCGATTTCAAAGAATGACGGTGGTTAAAAAAGATTGTGTTTGGATTGCATTTTCCTGGACTTTTTTTTGTAGAAAATTACACCGTAACGATTTGATTTGATATATGTAAGATAAAAAGGTGGTTGAAAAATGTACTCACGAAAAAGTAGCAATTTTTCTTTAGAAATTTGCAATTTCGTAACGTGTCCGATTAATGCAAGTCACGAAAAACCTTACTCTTTATGACATGAAATTGGTGGATGTAGCAATAAGTCGGTTTTAAATCACAAAATTGATAAACACGATTTAGCCATTTAAGTTGTTAGAAAAAACATGTTACATTGCCAAACGATATCTTCTAAATGGTAATTATTTAACCCAACAAGCAAGGTATATATCCTAGCTACATATATCTTGAATCATAATTCCCATTTGGACTTGATATGAAAACTTCCCAATCTTTTCTTCTTTAACGCTAGCTTTTGAAGAAGGCCTCGACTAATTCCCTTTTTATTTATTTATTGTTTCAGTGGTGCGGTAGCGTAAATTTTTAATAGAATCTCAAGGTCAATCTTATCAAGTAATTCCATCGTAGGGGGAGATTTAGTGCTTCCCACTTCCCACGGGATGTGATCCGCAATTCAAGTAAAATGTTGGATTAAACTTGCGAGCAATTATTTGAATCAAATACAACATATGATATTATTACCTTTAATATTTCTTCTGGTCTTCCTCAAGGTGTTGTCGTTACAAGACGAACAGTTCTGTATTAAGTGACCTCATTCTGGTGTTTTTGCTCTAGGTTGTACGGAATAACTGTAGAAGCTTTGCCTGCCTCTTAACACTTTCAATTCCCTTCTTCGTAGAAATACAAGAGGCCTACCGTACCTTTTCTCCCTAATAGGCCTTTCTGTACATTTGCAACACAATCCTCCTTTTTTTTTTTTTTTTGTTTCTTACTTTTTTCTCACACAATATTCATTTCCTTTTTTCCCTCTTAATTGAAGATTGTAAAATTTGAAGTCCAAGGACCAGCATTGTTGTTCGAATGAAGCTCAAAAACTGGATGTCAAATATTTCATCCAAGGAAAAGCCACCCAAATTAAAGGACTTCCATCGATCTAATGGCGGAGCTAGGACCTATAGCTAATGGAACCAGTATTATACAGCTAAAATGATGTTGTTAATTATTGTGCCAAGAAAATTTTGACTTAAAATTATGTTTTATTTTGAGTTATTTTTTTATTTTGTGTTTTGAAAGTATTGAAATTATTTCTAGAAGAAATTGATTGCTTAGGGAAATCATGTGAGGGGAATGAGGTTTCCTTTTAATATAAGGAGGCAATATAAAGAGAAAAAGGTTATTTTTCACAATTGAGGAGGTGCAATAATGATAAAAAAAAATTGTAGTAATAGTTTTAAAGCTATATTTTAAATTTTGTAAAGTTGAGGGGGGACAATTGCCCACTCTCAACATAATCATAATGTAGGCTTCCATCAAAGAGCTTGTGGGGTAGGTTTAGCCATCCTGGAGGGTGCCCTTCCAAAAATTCTTGAAGAGGGAGTTTGGAAATAGTTTTTCAAACGGCAATAGATCGACTCGCCTCAGTTAGAACTTAGAACCCCACTGAAATTTTTTCCACCCTTTTCTTTGCTGAAGAAAAGAGAATGTATTGCAATGGCCTAATGCGTTGGGCAAACGAAAATCCACTGCTTCGTCCTTTTCCTGAATGAGAGAATTGCTTGTCCTTTTTTGCCTTGCGCTTCGAAGAAGTTCTTATCGACAAACAATATAATAGACTTAGCGACTCTTGACTTTGACCCCAAGTCATACAAAGGGAAAGAAAAAATGAAATTGACACTTCCACCAATAAGTTGCCAGCATATTTTCATTAAGTTACTTAACACAGATTCTATTCACAACCATTTCGCTTGTATAGAACCATCCACAAAATACTGAATTCTCAAGCACAGTTCATAACATCACAAAAGTCCCAATTTCAATTTGGTAATTCTGATCGAATTTATGGTAATTGCATATACAAGACTTCTAATTTCTGAACTGAAGATATAATTTTTTTTTTTTTTTTTTTTTGTAAACCGAAGACTTAATGACGTGCAATAAACATGATTTAGAAAATTTAAGTTGGCGGAAAATATATTACGTTGCCAAATGATATCTTCTAAATGGTAATTATTTAACCCAATTAACGAACAAGGTATCCTAGCCAAGTACATGTTAAATCATTAATGAAGTCCACGGCGCGTAACAAAAGTCCGATACTGACAGAACTTCCAGCAAATTTCACGGCCATTTCCTGAACAAAAATTGTGAACTTTCTTGCATTATACATGATGTGTTATATTGAAAAATCAACTGGTAGTTCACCTCACCAAATTGCTATAAAAAGTGGATCAAAAGATTTCAGGACTCGCAACTGAATTCATATTTTGAAGCAAGATGAATACTAATGCCACATTTCTTATTGTTGCGGTCTCTGTAGCTGCTGGAATTCTAATCTTGTGTTGCTTATGCAATATTGGACGCAAAAAGAAGCAGCTGCCTGGAGCATCACAGGCTAGGCAGAGTGCTCCACGGCCACCATCGTATTATGATGTTGAGAAGGGTCAAACTGCTAAAACTAGTGCCATTAGAGATGGGGGAATGGCTATTTTGGGAGCAGCAGCAGCAGTTGCAGCTGCCACTATTGCAGCAGAAGCAGTGTTTGGAGGTGGTGGCGGAGGTTGCGATGATAGTGGTACAGGTGGCGGACATGGCAGTGGGGGTGGTTGTGGTGGTGGGGGTGGTTGTGGAGGAGGAGGAGGCTGCGGAGGAGGGGGCTGTGGTGGTTGCTGAGGTTGAATTGTACACAACGCACGCATCAAAGTCTATCTCTAGCTTTACTTGTCAGAGACCCTTGTCTTAAACTGTACTCTTCTTTGTAGGATTTTTAAACCAAGTTTTTTTGGGATTTAGTTTGTTGTTTAGTTGTAATCTTCTATTACTAGTATGATTTGATAGTTTAAATTCCAATAAAATTTTGGTAGTTGGTAGTCTATATAAAGACCATATAGTTCTTGGTCTTTCGGTGTACGAAAGAAAAGAGAGAAAGAAAAGAGTCAGAAAGATAATAAAAGTCTCAAGTTCTCTTTCTTCTATTTGGTTTTCTGGCCTTGAGATTTATTTTGTCTTCTTGTGTTTTCATTCAATCATGAAATTTGTGTGGCTTATATTAATTATTTTTGTGGGCCTACATAGTGATATTAGAGTTAGGTTTATTGTAAGACATGTTTGCATCAACTACATCAACGATGCCAAGTAATATTACCTATGCAGTACCAAACTCATAGGGAGAAAATATTACAGTTCTTGGAGAACGCAGATGAAAACTCATCTTGCTGAGTATAATTTGATTAAATTTGTTCGGCAAAAAATTGCTGCAGATGAAGAAGCAAGTGTCAAGAGGCAAGTATCTTAAATTCGCCAGGCAATTGATGCTTTGATTTTTGAAAAAATTGCTAATGCCAAGACTGCAAAACAGGCATAAAACATTTTGGCGAAAACATACAAAGGAGTTGATAGAGTTCAGAAAAATAATTTGCTGATGTTAAAAAGGAAATTTGAGTTGATCACCATGAAAAAATCAGAGACCATAGAATCACATTTTTTCAAACTGATTGACATAAAAAATGAGATGGAGCATAATGGTCATGATCTCATAGATGAGGTACTAGTAGAAAAAGCTCTCAATACTTTACCTATGAAATTTGATCATGTAGTTGCTGTGATTCAAGAGGCAAAAGATCTCTCAACTATGACCATTGAAGAATTGTAGAGTCCGTTAACTTTTTATGAATAGAGAATTAATGGAAAATAGGAAAATGGTGTAGAAAGAGAAACGGTAGAAAAGACATTGCAGGTGCAGACAGATAGACCCAAGAAGAAGGGTGATGGCTCCAGTCAAAGAAACCAAAATTTCAGAGAAAGATGACGAGGCCGCAATAGAAACAATTTTAGAGGTCATGGTAGAGGTAATTTTTATCAACAGAGAGGTAACAATAATTATCCCAATGGTGAGTTAGAAAATAATAATTCTTGCAAATGTAATATTCAGTGCTATAATTGTAAAAAAATTGGTCATTATAAAAGCGAGTGTTGATAAAATTCTGACAATAAAGACAGGCATGCTAATATGGCAGAGAATAATGATGAAAAGAATGAAACTATTTTATTCACTAACTCAAGAGTGGAAGAAAATTAAAAAAAAAATTGATTTTTGGATTTTGACTGCGGTAACCATATGTGTGGTAACAAAAATATGTTTGTTGATTTGAATGAGTCTTTTAGATCTTTTGTTAACGATAATGAATTATCTGATGAAAATATTGTAAACTTTATTTTATTTGTAAATTGTGATCCTATTACCTTTGAGGAGGTCATAAACAATGATCATTAGAATCAAACAATGAATGAGGAAATGCATACAATTGAAAAAAAAAAAAAATAAGGCATGGGAGCTGACTACACTTCCATATGGAAAGAAATTAATTGGTGTCAAATGGGTCTACAAGATCAAGTACAAGCAAACTAGAGAGGTACATCATTACAAAGTAAGATTAGTGGTTAAAGGATACAAGCAAAAGACAGGTATTGATTATTTTGAAATTTTTGCTTCAATTGTCAGACTTGATGCTGTTCGTATGATTATATCTATTGCTGCCAATAATTTTTGAAAGATTTATCACATGGATGTGAAATCTATTTTCTTGAATGAAATTCTTGAAGAGAAAGCATATGTTGAGCAACCTGTAGGTTATATGAAGAAAGGTCAAGACAATAAACTCTACAGGTTAAAGAAGGTTTTATATGGTTTGAAGCCAACTTCTCGAACTTGATATACTCGTATCGACTCTTACTTTATTGGAAACAGTTTTGACAGATGTCCATATGAGCATACTTTGTATATCAAATTCGATCCTGGTGGTGATATTCTTATTGTATGCTCATATGTGGATGATCTGATTTTTACCGACAATAGAGTGATTTCTGAATTCAGGGAGATTTCATGATTAGTCATTTTAAAATGATGACTTGGGATTAATGTCATATTTTCTTGGCATTGAGGTTTCTCAAACAAATGACGGCATATTTATTACACAGAAGAAATATGCCAAACCTATGTTGACCCAATTGAAGAGAAGTTGAAGTTAGTTAAAGATGGTGGTGGTAAATTTGTTAATGCCACTAATTTTAACAAATTGGTTGGAAGCCTAAGATACTCAACGTTGACAAGGCCTGACATTAATTTTAGTGTTGGATTAATTAGCAGGTTTGACGCCGAATAAACATGATTTAGGTATTTAAGTTCGCGGCGGAAAAATATATTACATTGGCAAATGATATCTTCTAAATGGTAATTAATTGTTTAACCCGACAAGCAAGGTATCCTAGCCACATACATTTTAAATCGTTATTAATTTCCATTCGGACTCAATATGAAAATCGCCCAATATTTTCTTCTTCTACGCTAGCTTTTCAAAAAGTCCTCAACCAACAAAAATATTGTCTAGTGTTTTAATAGCTCAAGAATGAAGGAGAAATTAATGAAGTCCACGACGTATAACAAAAGTCTGATACTAACAGAACTTCCAGCATATTTCAAGGTCATTCCTAAACAAAAATTGTAAACTTCCTTGCATTATACATTATGAGTATTATATTGAAAATTCAACCATTAGTTCACCTCACCAAATTGCTATAAAAAGTGGATCAAAGGATTGCAAGGCTCGTGCCTGAAGTCATATTTTGAAGCAAGATGAAAACTTATGCCATAGTTCTTATTGTTTTGGGCTCTGTAGCTGCTGGAATTCTAACCTTATGTTGTTTATGGAGTATTGGACGTAAAAAGAAGCAGCTGCCTGCAACATCACAGGCTAGGCCGAGTGCTCCACGGCCACCTTCGGATTATGATGTTGAGAAGGGTCAAACTGCAAAAACTGGTGCCATGAGAGATGGGGGAATGGCTATTTTGGGAGCAACAGCAGCAGTTGCAGCTGCCACTATTGCAGCAGAAGCCACGGTCGGAGGTGGTTGTGGAGGTGGAGGTGATAGTGGCACAGGAGGCGGAGATGGCGGTGGGGGTGGTTGTGGTGGTGGTGGTGGTTGTGGGGGAGGCTGTGGTGGCTGAGGTCGAAATGTACACAACCCACGCATGCAAATTGCAAAGTCTATCTGTAGCTTCACTTGTAAAAGACCCTTGTCTTGAACTGTACTCTTCTATGAATTGTGTTGATCATCTTTGTGAACATTTGGATCCAGAAATTTCCTACTGCATTTATGCTAGTGGAAGATAGTTGATAATTTTTCTACCATATGTCTAAATCATTTTTTAGTTGTAACAAAATTTGTTCAATGAAACTTTTCCACTAGTTGAAATGGTCATCTAATGTCAAACAGAAAACAGAAAATCAACAATGCATACGACTTATTATATAAAACCGCATAATTCCACTTTTCATATGACTGCATGTGAAATGGCAATTTAATTACTTAAATATATAGTTATAATCAAGTCTACCTCATACCAATGGCTAGGCCAGCCAAAATAATCTTCTCACAAACTCACAAATTAACGATAATTATCAGATTGATGTGGGATAAACGTGATTTAGGCATTTTTGTTGGCAGAAAAAATATATTTACAATGCCGAATGATATCTTCCAAATAGAAATTATTAAACCCAACAGGCAAGGAATCCTAGATTAATATGAAAACTGCCAATCTTTTCTTCTTTTGCGCTAATCTTTGAACTAGTCCTCAACCAATAAAAAGTTTTGTACTATATTAAATTGAGTAAATAGGACAAGAATGAAGAGAAATTAATGAAAGTCAACGACGTACAACAAAAGTCTAATATTAAACAACTTCGAGCATCTGTCAGTGTCATTACCTAGACGAAAATTATCCTTGCATTATACAGGGTGAGTATTATATTGAAAACTCAGCTCACGAAAATGCTATAAAAAGTGGATGGAAAGATCGTCAGACTCGTAGCCGAAGTTATATTATGAAGGAAAATGAATTCTAATGCCATAATTCTCATTGTCTGGGGCTCTTGGATCGCTGGAATTCTGATATTGCTTTGTTCATGGGAAATTGGACGGAAAAGGAAGCGGCTTCCGGCTACATCACATGCTGGGACGAGTGCTCCTCGGCGGCCTTCGTATGACGATGTTGAGAAGGGTCAATGTAGTGCAATAAGAGATGGGGGAATGGTTGTTCTGGGAGCAACAGCAGCAGTTGCAGCTGCCACTAGTGCAGCAGAAGCCGTGGTCGGAGATGGTGGTGATAGCGAGACAGGAGGCGGAGATGGCGGTGGTAGTGATGGTGGCGGTTGTGGTGGTGGTGGTTGTAGTGGATGTGGAGGTGGTTGTGGTGGATGTGGGGGTGGTGGTGATTAATCAATCAATCAAAGCCTGGCGCTGTTATCTTTCTAGCTCTACATACACATGAGAGGATCATATAAGAGGCTGCAGTGCTGTTTGTTTCTGATTTCCTCAAATTTGTCCAGTTGGTAAGTTTCATCGGTGTGTGGTTATTTCATATTTGTGATTTAAGTTGATTGCAGATGAGCCCGAGCAATATCGAAACAAAACATTCACCAGGCTTTTAAGTTGCCATGTATGTACCAAAAATATAAGTGTAGTTGCTCGAGCGATATATAGCATCTCCATCTCTTCCTGTCTAGTGTAATTAACAGAGTTCCACGCCATTATATGCCCGTCGCCATATGATCAACGTACAATTTTATACACGAAATACTAAGATACAGACATAATCTGTCAATTCAAGAACGAGGAGACAGGCAATACTGATAGTCACCAGATTGACATCTGTGATGAGCTTCTCTAAGATCTCTACCTTTCAACTTTGTGCAATGTTGATTCTTTGAAGGAAAGAGGCAGGAGTTGTCCCCTAGAAGTCTCTTGATTTCTATTTTATTTTTATTTTTTGAGCAGGAGTGTAAACTTTTAGTAGAATTTCAAGGTCAATCTTATCAAGTCTTAATCGAGTTTTTTTCCAATGTTTTTTTAGGTTTACTAATGTAAATAGAAGATCTCGAACTCGGAACTTCTCACTTACACTCTCTCCTACCATATCACCCTTATCCATCTATTCCCTTCCCCCAAATCTTATAAAGTAATTCTATCCTAGGGGAATTTTAGTGCTTCTCTGTTGCCACGCGATGTGTTCAACAGTTCAAGTGAAAAGTTGAATAAAACTTGCTACCAAGTATCTAATTCAAGTAGACACATTTTTAGCTTAAATATTTTTTTCCTATCTTCTTCAAGGTGTTATCATTATAGAACCAAGAATTCTATAACAAGTGACCTCTTTCTGGTGTTTTTGCTCTAATTTTAGTAGAATAATCATAGATGCTTTGCCTCTAACACAAGTGCTCTTTTCCCTTCATTGAAATACAAGAGTCCCATCATCACTTTTTTGTTTCTTATTTTTGTCACACAATATTCATTTCTTTTTTCATTGAAGTAGACGTACTTCTCTGGTTTTCCTCAACCATTCAGAACGTAAAATTTGAAGTTCAGTCACCAGAGTTGTTGTTTGAATCAAACTCAAAACCTGGTTGTCTAAATATAGAAGCATGGAAAACCAACCAAAGGACTTCCATAAAACGTTCAAGATTGTCAATTTTGTTAATTGTTATACTTTGCTAAGGTGGTAACCAATCATGATCAAGCCAGTGTAATTCTTTCATCTCATCCAGGATTAAACATAACACACATTTGATTCCTTTAAAACTGGCATGGGACTGATCTCCCGAAAGGAATGTATTAACCTTGTTCTTAACAGTAATCCAGCTACACCCAGGACTTTTTTTTATTCCTTGCAATTTCTTGGCCGTTCTAACTCTTTCTTCCTCTTTTTTCTTCCCTGCAAAAGAATACATGTCTGATAAGACCACATACGGCGCTGCATTGTTTGGTTCCAGCTTAGAAATATTTTCGGCTGCAAGCATCGCGAGATCAACGCGGAAGCGAGTCCTGCTTGCAGCAAGAAGAGCACCCCATACCCCAGAGTCGGGCACAAATGGCATTGAATTGATGAAGGTTACAGCATCATCAAGCAAACCTGACCTTCCAAGGAGATCAACCATGCAGGCACAATGATCAGGTCCAGGTTCAATCTTATATAGAGATTTCATCAACCTAAAGTAGTTCCTTCCTTCTTCTACGAGTCCTACATGCGTACAGGCTGAAAGAACACCGAGAAAGGTAATTTCAGTAGGTTCGTAGCCTCTGCTCTGTGACTTCTCAAACAACTCAAGTGCTTCCTTTCCAAAACCATTTTGGGCAAATCCAGAAATCATAGAATTGAAAGAAACAATGTTAGGTGCCATAATGGAATTGAAGATCCGGTAGGCATCATCTACATTTCCACATTTTGAATAAAATGAGACAAGGGTATTTTGAATGGATAAATCAGACTCCATGTTCCTCTTAATAACCTGAGCATGTATTTGTGTACCCTGATTTAATGTTGCCAAACCAGCTGAAGCACTAAGAGCACTACTTAAGGTCAGAGGATTTGGTCTCACTGCAGTCTGAAGCATCTGAAAGAACGAACAGATAGCTTCCTCATATTGTCCATTAATAACAAACCCTGAAATAAGAGCAGTCCAGGCAATAGCATCTTTCTCTGGCATCATTGTGAACAGCCCAATGCATTTTTCAGTCAATCCTTCCTCAGAATATCCAGTAATCATGGTTGTCCAGGAAACTACGTCTTTCTCAGGTGCCTTCTCAAATAGTCCATATGCCTCCTCAAGGTCTTTATTTTGAATATAACCAGAAATGAGAGAATTCCAAGAGACTATATCTTTTTCTAACATCATGTCAAACACACTTCGAGCCACATCCATACAACGAAATCTAGAATACATGGTAATTAATGAGTTTCCCAGAAAAACATCAAACTCAAATCCTAAATGTGAAACTAGACCGTGAACTTGACACCCTTCGGTATATCTGTCAAATCTCCCACAAGCTTCAAAAATTGTAGTGACTAATATAGGTTCGATTCTCACAGCATCTTCCCTTCGCATTTCAGAAAACAATCCAAGTCCGTCTCTGAAACGTCCCAGTTTCATATAGCCATTAATCATGGAACTCCAGGTAACCTCGTTCCTCTCCCTTATTGCATCAAAAAACTCTCTAGCCTCATCAACTCTGTCATTCTTACAGTACCCATCCACCATTGAGCTCCAGGATACAACATCCTTCTTCGTCATCCTATCAAAAATCTGAGTTGCCTCATCCAATCTCCCCATTTTCAAGTACCCATTTATCAACACATTCGAACAAGACGGGTCTCGCAGTTCTAATGGTGTCTCATTATACAATTTTTCAGCCTCATCAAACCTCCCTGAATTCACAAACCCCGTGATCATAGCAGCACAAGATACCTCATTCCGCTCGGGCATTTTCACAAACAATCGAAACCCTTCAAAGATACCACCTTTGCTTCTCGTATAAGCTGTGATCATCGCATTCCACGATACGATAGTTCGTTCAGGCATTTCATCGAATAGTTCGCGAGCTCTCTTGAGCTGACCATTTTGAGCATAAGCTGTGAGCATTGCAGTGTACGAAACAACATTTCTTGTGGGCATTCGGTTGAAAACTGATTCGGCCTCTTTGATATTGCCGTCTCGGCCATGTTTTGTTATCTGGGAGTTGCAGTAAACGAGGAACTTATTGGTTTCAGTTTTGGTTTTTGACAAGTTGGTTTGAGTAGCAAAAACTAAAGTGCTAAAGATTTGTAGTGAAGGTTTCTTGAGGGCTATGTACAACTGGGTGGAGGTGCGGTTTGCTAGCATGACTCAAAGAATTGAGGAAACTCCATAGCCTTGGGGACCGTTGGAGTTTAAAACTCGAAGCTTTTTTGGCGGCAGCCCTGAAAGCCGAAGAATGTGGAAGTAAAACTTTTGAGCCTCTTTTGCTGAAATTTTCTCAAAGCTGTCTGAAAAAATTATGGGAGCTAATTGCTGAAATAGTCCCTCATATTTTTGAAAAACCGTTTGTATTCCCTCATCTTTAAATTGATTAATTTGGTTTCCCACATGTTTAAGCATATTATTTCAGTCAAATTCCCTTTAATGTTTTTCT